ATCGATGAGGGTGATTCAGAGGATGAAAGGGTTGTTTTGTGGAAAGAGAAGGGGCAAAAGGCGGGAACTGTTCAAATTTTGCGGAGTACGAGGACGGCGCGACAGCTGCAGTAAGCCAATATCAGCATGCCATGTGTCATAGGGATAAGAATCGATTCCGTTTTTGTGATTGAAGGGACGTTGTGACCGGACAAGCACAACTCGACGTAGGTTTAGCTCGGCTGGAAAGGCTAAAGGGTTTTTTTAGCTCGGTTGAAAATGTAAAACTTTAGCCCGATTTATAGATAGGTAATCCCTATCATGCTACACAGATGAAATTAAGGGGCAATTGAGAGGGTAATTTATATGCGGAATTGGGCTGAGCTGGGCCTTTATGGGCCTCAGTACGAAGGGCTAAGTAAAGAGGCCATAAAGTTACTCCGGTCTTGAAGAGGCTTAAAGTTAGCCTGATCTCAAGCCTAAAAGGTAGACTGGTTCGAGTTACTCTTAATGTTAGTCCGGTTGAAGGACGCTTTGTAGTTAGACCGGTTTAAGGATGCGTTGAACTTATATCGGTTGAGGCACAGTATGGTTAGTTCGGTCTAAAAGCCTTACTAGAAGTTAGATCGGTTTAGACTTAACACTGTTGATAATGGAGGAACTGGGGTAAGAACACTGAAGGTAGAATCGAACTAACGATAGTTCGGTCTACTTTGTGGATCGGCGTGATCATGATTACTTCGGTCATATTAGAGTTCAGCCATAGTAAAAACCATCTCACTTGGTTTAAGCAGTGAGGGGGGTGTTGAAGGATAAGCATTATACTTCAGGAGTGTGAATTCTAGGAGGACTCTGCATGGAGGAGTAGAAGTCCTACTAGGATTGTGCCACGCAAAACCTATAAAAGCTCATAAACATCACCTTTGGAGAGGTAACCTTTGTTTTCTGAATTCACAGAGCTTTTGTCTATTTGTCAAGCTTACTAACTTAGGCATCGGAGGGGTTTCCGGCACACACCCGCCGGCTAGCTCACGTTTGTGTTTTTAGGTGATAAAGCGACGACGTAAGGAAGAGTGCAGACTTGATCAACAGGATTATACGAGAAGGTTTATTTCTTTCCCGTACATTACTTATAACTAGTGTATTATAGGCAATGCGAAGAGTATTGTATGTTTTATGATAGATTATATAATAATGTATAAATAATAGTGGTTCCATATCAATCATTGATATACTGTATCACTAACCAATAGTAAAATAGCGCATGGAAGGTTAATCCCATTTGTCAAATATAATTAAATAATTCAATAATTTCATATTTTTGTAGTGAGGTTAACTATGTTTACATGTAAGTAATGATTTGGTATCACTGTTACACTAAAATTTCTTTCATAAAATTTTCATGACTAATGCTGTATGCACTAATTAGTGTACCAATTGATGATGTGACATAATCTAAGATATTTTTGATATTTGTAATTATATAATGAGTGGGGTCAATATTAGTATCATAACTAGTGTTAGTATACTAGTTATTACATAAATTGGTGCATGTAGCACCCCTCAATTTTCATACATAATAATGTGACTTGTAATTTTTTTCATTTTCAATCAAAACGTCTATCATTATTTTGTAATTTGAAAAACATCATTAAGAAATCATTCTAAATGAATGTTATTTCTATGTAAATTTTCTATTTATTAATTATTTTCCTTATATGCAAAAAAAAAAAAAAAGGAAAAATAAAATATGAGGGAGGACACGTGACTCCTGATCTCTTCATAACTCCGTCACCGCACATAAGAATATTACATTCAATTATATATGTAATTAAATTATATATGCACTTAATTAATTTATTTATTTATTTGTTACTACGATTGAATTTGTTCAAATATAGTGATTATTTTCACAACATAATAAGAAGAAAAAAGGAAAAAAAATAAGCATTTGTAAGTAATATTTGCAAAAGTTTAAAACAAAAGTACGTATAACATATAAAATATAATTCTTCATAGCATCTAGTTTACGGATACATCAAAGTAAGGTTGCACGTAGACTCTTAACTAGGAATGGCAATGGGGGCAATGGGGTGGATATTAATTCCCCATCCCCATTCCCCTATAATAAATTTTCCCCATTCTCCATTCCCCATTCCCCATGGGTACCACCCTCTCCATTTTTTAATGGGTATGGATTTTCCCCAACCCACTTTAATCCCCATTTTTATTTTTTATATTTAATGTTAACAACCACTTTTTTTTTTTATTTTTTTTATTTTATTTTTTTTATTTTAAAGGTTCACAACAAAAACTAAATATACCTTCAATCTTTTTTCTTTCTTTTTGACAAAAATATTTTTAGTAGCCAAAGGTTAGGGTTTTTGGCGACTAAAACCATTTGGTAGCCAAACGTTAAGGTTTTGGCGACTAAAAACCACTTTGGTCGCTGAAGGTCAAGCTTTTTGGCTACTAAAAAAAAATTAGTAGCTAAAAACAGGTTTATGGCGACTAAAATTCACTTTAGTAGCCAAAGGGGGAGGTTTTTGGCGACCAAAAACAAGTTTAGTCGCCAAAAGGGTAGGTTTTTAGGCGGAATGGTTTTCTTTAGCGACGGAAAATTAATTAGTAGCCCAAAAATAATGGAATTGGCGACTAAATAATTTTTTTAGTCGCCAAAAGTGATCTAAAATTTTTTTAATAAATAATTTATTTTTTACATAAATTATATTTGAATATATATAATTACATTTATATATATAGTTGTGTATTAATACTGATGAAAGTAATATATAAATAATATAAGTTGCAATTATAGTCATGAGATGACTCAGTGGCATAGTGGGGTGGAGTGTATGGTTAAGGTTTGGAGGTTTGGAACTTGGAGGTCCTAGGTTCGAACCGTGGGAGCTCTGAGGCACAAAGGAAATTTTTTTTTTTTCAAAAATGCTTTTGGCGACTAAAAAAAAATAGTCGCCAAATGTATAAATAATAAAAATAATAATTCACTATTAGCGACTAATAGTTTAGTCGCCAAAGGTATAATTTCCAAAAATGGAATTGACTATTGGCGACTAAAACCTTAGTCGCTGAAAACCTGTGTATTGCCGACTAAAAGTTTTTTTTGTCGCCAAAGGTATTGCCGACCGTCTATTTGCGACAAACCCGGCGACTAAAAGATTTTGTCGGGGAAAGTGGAAATTTGACATTTGGCGACTAAAAGGGGACTTTTGGCGACTAAAAATTTAGTCGCCAAAGGTGTATTTTCCTGTAGTGCCAATAACTAGTATATGTTTCAGTTGGGCTTTTGCAATAATCAGCTGTTGTATAGTAATAAAATATATTGATACTCTGTTGCTTAGAACTCACCAAAAATGACAAAATAAGTGAGTAGTATAGAAAATATTGATTCTGAAACTCCAATGAAAATCTTCACTAAAGTTGAGGACATGAGTTCCAATATCATCATCTTTAGATTGACAATGGACTCTCAAGGGTTTAGGATTGTTTGGAACTCCACAAACTATAAAAACAGTATATTGGTCAGTAACAGCTCCTTCGACATACAACATTGTAAAAACAAAATGTAATGCGAGGATGAGTAAGGAGAGAAAAAAATAATTCTTTGTATATGCCATGAAAGTGAAGTTGTTTCCTTATTTGTTTGTTACTCGCATGCATGAGCTAAAGAAAGTTTTACTTATGTAGTGAAACAATCAATGGATCAAATGGTCAGTGAAAGTAGATTTTGTGTATTAAAGTGAAGTTAGATTTTGTATATGAAAGTAGATTTTGGCAATCCAAGTAGATTATGTATAAAATAAATATTTGAGAAAAAAATAATTTTGAACTAGTAACAGTAATTGTCAAACCAAGTTTGAGAACCTGCTTGCAAAGAGGTCATTTGTGTACACTAATAGCGTAAGATCAATTGGACCTAGCTGTTTTCTAATCCATTGATGCTGTGAACCTCATCTTGCTAACATGTCTCCATTTTATTAATTATTGATTTCCGATTGTGAGTTTGGCATGTAGTTTTAAAAAAAAAAAAATTAATTACTTTTTGTCTTAGTAATTTTTTTTAAAGTTATTCAAATTTTTTAATTTTTCAAATTCATCTTGTGCAAATGAATTTAAAAAGTAAACAAATTTTATTAAAAAAATTCACTAAAACTCAAAAAAAAAAAAAAAAAAAAAAAAAAAAAAAAAAAGAAGAAGAAGAAGAAGAAGAAGAAAAAGAAAAACAACAACAACAACATTTTTGGCCTTTTTTTTTTTTGTTGCCCTTTTTGGACCTTTTCTTTTCAATATTTTTAATTTCTTTCTTTTGGTCGGTCTATTCAAGTAGAATTCAAAACTCAAAAGTGAAAATTTTAATTTTAAAAAAAAAAAAATTCACTAACAATTAAAAAAAAAAATCAACAAAGAATAATTAAAAAGTCAACCCCAAATATTAATTATGGGAGTGAGTGAAAAGCCATGAGATCATTTATATATCTCACTCGTTGTATCATATGCTATCACATATTTTTTTAATCAATAATTTTAAGGACTTCATAATATGAGAGATGAGTATAGGACAAAGAGTGAGACAAATGATCCATACTCTAAAGAAAAGTATGGCTCACAAATATTATGTAAATGGATTTTTACAAACTCGAGCCAGAGGCATTGATTTTATAAATTTTAAGATGGTTTCAACTCATTATAATTGATATTTTGTTTCTTTATTTTATTTATTTTAATAGTGAATCATTAGTTGGACTAGGTTATGTAATTTTTTTAATTGGATTTTCCACATTAAAAATCGAGTAATACCAAAATGACCATGCTTATTTGTTACTGTTAAAATTCACCTACTACACACCTACCACTACCACCTACTACACACTCACCTACTTCACCTACTCTCCACCTACTCCTCACCTACTCCATCTACTACACACCTACTACACACTCACCCTCTCCTATATATAGGAATCATTGTAAACATAACAAATATCAATCAATAATACAATTCTCTATTTCTTTTTATACATTGAATTTTTACATGGTATCAGAGCTATAGGTTAAAGATCTTGCTGTTCTTCGCCTTCCGGCGGGCGGCAACCTTGCCTTGACCGCCCGTCGGGTCTCAACCAATTCAAACCTCTCTCTGTTTTCAAATCTCTGCTTTTACACATTCTAGATATGGATAGTTTCCTCTTCACCTCGGAATCTGTCAATGAAGGCCACCCTGACAAGCTCTGTGATCAAGTCTCCGATGCCATCTTGGATGCTTGCCTTGAGCAAGATCCGGAAAGCAAAGTTGCTTGTGAAACCTGCACAAAAGTCAATTATGAGAAGATAGTTCGCGATACTTGCAGAGGTATTGGTTTTACCTCTCCTGATGTTGGCCTTGATGCTGATCACTGCAAGGTCCTTGTCAACATTGAACAACAGAGCCTCGACATTGCACAGGGTGTTCATGGTCACCTAACCAAGAAGCCCGAGGAAATTGGAGCCGGTGACCAAGGCCACATGTTTGGCTATGCCACTGATGAAACACCTGAACTCATGCCTCTGACTCATGTCCTAGCAACCAAGCTCGGTGCCAAGCTCATAGAGGTGAGGAAGAACAAGACGTGCCCTTGGCTAAGGCCAGATGGTAAGACCCAAGTGACTGTTGAGTACCGGAATGATGGTGGAGCCATGGTCCCCATTAGAGTTCATACTGTTCTCATCTCAACCCAACATGATGAGACCGTCACAAATGACCAAATTGCGAAAGATTTGAAAGAGCACATAATCAAACCCGTCATCCCTGCCCAGTATCTGGATGATAAGACCATCTTCCACCTCAACCAGATGCTCTCTCTCTCTTCTTCCGGCTACAGAGCAATCGCCCCCGATCTCCGCGGCTACGGAGACACCGATGCTACTCCTTCTGCCAACAGCACCAACGCCGATCTTTCGACGAAGTCGGAGAGCAAGTCGGCCTCCGATCTGGACCAGAAGTCGGCCAGATCTCGGTTCTCGCCGGGCTGCTTCACAGAAGAGAAGGCCAGGCAACTCCGGCTGATGACCAAGGAAACGTCGTCGTTCTACGACATCATGTACCACTCCGCGATCGCCTCCCGGCTCGCTTCCGACTTCCCGAACTCGTCCGATCGGTGATTTTATTTCCGACTGCCGGCGATCCTCTCTCTCACTCTCTCGGCCCCCCCCGTTCCTCTGTCCTTTTCCGTTCCAACACCGCTCTCTCTTTAGTTGAAAGAGAAGAACCACAAAACAAAATAGGGGGCTGCTTTTTCAGTTGCCCACAGATTCCTCTCATCTCTCTTTCACTCTCTCTCACTCACATGCGGGAAACAGAGTTTCTCTCTCTCCCCTTCTCTCCACTTTATCACATGGGTTTTGTCCCCCTCTTTTCGTTTCTTTTTATTTTACTATTCTCTACCGATTTGAATATCACCTTTCTTTTTTTTTTCTTTTTTTATTCCTTTACCATTCACACACACACACAAAAAAAAAAAAAAAAAAAAAAAAAAAAAAATATAATTTGTTCACATTTGTTGTTAAAAAAATAGGTAATAAATGTAAAATTTACAATAATCTATCTGATATATATATATATATATAATTTACACATAAAAAATTAAAATTTTAATAATTTAAACTATTAGAATAGAATCAGCCTCCGTTTGGGAAGTGGGTTGGCTTTTTGGCTTTTTGGCTTTTTTGGCTATTTTAGCCTGGGCTTAAAAGCTTGGTTTGGACCGGTCTCTTCTTTTTGCCTCCGTCCTGAGCGGCCCTTGACGGTGTTGCCTCCGTGTTTTCCACGCCGCCGAGCACGTTCACTCCCCCATACTCCTCCACTGCAGCATATGGTGGACCTCCAAATCGGAACATTACGGTGGCCTTCCGCTTCAGCTCCTTATTTTCCACCTTTAGCACACTTATCTCTGCTCGCGCATCCTTATACATGAGTTGGAGCAGAGCCAGTTGGGCGTTTAACTTAGGGGTGAGCATGGTTCGGATCGGACCGGATTGGGATAAAACCAGGACCAATCCGTTATCTACGGTTCCTGAAAAATTGGAACCAATCCGAACCAATCCATTTAAATACGGATTGGATCGGTCTAGGACCACGGATTCACATAATTAAATAACAAAAAAATATATATAACACTTTAATTTCAATAAAATATAAACATAATGCTATATTAGTTTCACAATAGCAACATCTATTTCTATAATAGCGACATACTGTACTAGAATTTAAACAACCATAAGAAAACTGGTTTCACCATAAGTATTTAGACCATTACAAATTAAAACTAAAAACTAACAAACAAAAGTAATAAAAGAAGATATTATACGGTTTTAGGTTTGAGTTTAGATTTTATATCAAATAAGAGAAGATACTATGGGGGAGGATTTATAATAAAAATATATACTATTTGTATACGGTCCGGATCGGTTTCAATCCGGAACCGTGGGGTTCAATCCGGAACCAATCCGTGTACTGCGGATTTTTAATTTTTCAATCCGGAACCGAACCATGGATTCAAAAAACCAATCCAAACCTATCGGATTGGACTGGACTGGATCGGATTACGGATTTCACGAATTCCTTGCTCAGCCCTAGTAGAGTATCTATTCCTAGTGAAGACATTTTGCGGATAGAAGAGGAAACGTGGACAATGTACTTTAACGGAGCATCCAACCAGTACGGTTATAGGATAAGTGTGTTGCTGATAGCACCCGATGACTCCCACATACCCTTAGCTTTCAAACTCTGGTTCAAAGTGTCCAATAATGAAGCAGAATATGAGACGTGTATTGCTGGTTTGGAAGCTGCCCTAGAACTAGAGGCAATAAGGTTGGACGTCATTGGAGACTCGAACTTGGTTGTTTCTCAAGCCAATGGGGATTGGAGGGTCAAGGAAAAGAACATGAAGGTTTACGATCAAACCCTGGATATTTTGATTCTGAGGTTTGAAAAATTGATGTTCACACATCTGCTAAGAGAAAACAACTGGTTTGCTGATGCATTGGCAACTCCATCTTCCATGGTAGACATCCCGCTGGGAGTGAAGATGTGTCTAATCATTATTGAACAGAAACCATCACCGCAATAGATGAGGTTCAAGACAAAAAAAACCTTGGTATTACAACATTTGGAAGTTTCTGGAAAAGGATATGTATCCACTAGGAGCAAATGACAAAAATAAACAGGAAATACGACGTCTAGCTATCCGATTCATCATTTGCAGGGGTAAGCTGTACAAGAGAGGCCATCTGGGAATGCACAAGCTCTGTGTCGAAAAAGAAGAATTGAAGCATCATGGAGGCTATCCACAGAGGAAAGTGTAGAGCACACATGAACGATGTGATGCTGACTCGAAAAATCCTCAAGCAAGGCTATTATTGGTCAACTATGGAGGAGGATTGTATCAGTTTTGTTCGGCGATGCCACAAATGTCAAATCCATGCCAATCGAATGAATATACTGTCATCAAAGCTCTACAACGTGACTTCGCCATAGCCTTTCTTAGTTTGGGAAATTGACGTCATCGGGGCAGTCTCGCCAAAGGGATCAAATGGGCATGAATACATTTAGTGGCGATTAACTATTTTACCAATTGGGTGGAAGCTCAATCTTACTCTCTACTGAAGGCGTCACATGTGGCCAAGTTCATCAAGAGCAACATCATCTGCAGGTATAGGGTGCCACATAAGATCATCTTGGACAATGGCTCACACTTCAAGAAAGAGGTGGTTGATTTGCTCGAAAAATATAACGCCTTTAGCACACTTATCTCTGCTCGCGCATCCTTATACATGCGCTGGAGCAAAGCCAGTTGGGCGTTTAACTGCTGCACCTCATTTGTCCTACTCTGTAGCCGGTGCGACAAGTTTGTGACCGCAGTCATGGTTTCCACGCATGACTTCAAAGTATACTGTTTGGCCTCAATATCAGTTTGCACCGCCATTTTTTGCTCCACAGACCGCATCGGAAAGTTCAACGGAGCAAAACCAAAGGTGTTTGGTTGAGGTTCACTGGCCACCGCACTGGTTATCTCTCTTGTTGACTCGTTGAGGTCGGGAAAGAGAGTGAGTAGACCACGGGACGAAGAGGCCATATTCTGGGTAGCTGAACGGGAAGAAGAGGCCATTGTTCAGATGATTCAGAATGCAAATATTCAGATATTTCAGAATGAAAATGTTCAGCGGTTTCAAACTAGTTTGCACAGCCTCCGCCTCAACCTTGGTTTAAATAGCCAGGGCAGATACGCGCCTCGCGCGCCACTTGACGCCAGACGACAAAATGGGTGCGCCAGCCAAGGTAGTCACGCGCCTCGCCATCATGTCCGCCACACCTTTTTATGGATTGGGCGCGCCTTTTGATGGCACGCCTTTTGAAAGCTTGGGCATACCTTTTGAGGGCACGACTTTTGAGGGCTCGATATCTATTGATTCCGGTTAGCTCCTTCATGGGTCTGACAAGACTCTGTAAACTGTCCCGACATTGATTCCGGTTAGCTCCTTCATGGGTCTGACAAGACTCTGTAAACTGTCCCGACATTGATTCCGGTTAGCTTCTACATCGGTCCGGTGTGACCTCATCTACTGTCCAGCCTTTATCTGCTACAACGGTCTGACACAACCATCCAGTGTCCTCTACAACGTTATGACACAACCATCCAGTGTCTTCACCAACGGTCTGACACGACCATACATCCTATCCTCTTTTATTTTATATATTAGTCTATTTTCTTGTTTTGTTACTCTCTCCAAACTCAAGTTGGTTAATTCCTATCCCCCTTGAGTTTGCGGGGGGCTGTTAAAACCTACCAACACCTACCACTACACCTTCACCTACTACATCTCCTATACAAGGAGCCCCTCACCATTTGTAATTTACAACATACATCAATCAATAATACAATTCTCTTTATACATTGAATTTCAACAATATTGTATGTACGGTTCATTCGAAGAAGTTCCGTTTGAGATCATTCATTTAGTGTATCAATCACACTTCATTCATTTTCAGTATATCAATCATACTCTGTTCACATTGTGCATCTATCACGCTTTGTGTTCATTGTCAGTATATCAATCATACTCTGTTCACATTGTGCATCTATCACGCTTTGTGTTCATTGTCAGTATATCAATCATACTCTGTTCACATTGTGCATCTATCACGCTTTGTGTTCATTGTCAGTATATCAATCATACTCTGTTCACATTGTGCATCTATCACGCTTTGTGTTCATTGTCAGTATATCAATCATACTCTGTTCACATTGTGCATCTATCACGCTTTGTGTTCATTGTCAGTATATCAATCATACTCTGTTCACATTGTGCATCTATCACGCTTTGTGTTCATTGTCAGTATATCAATCATACTCTGTTCACATTGTGCATCTATCACGCTTTGTGTTCATTGTCAGTATATCAATCATACTCTGTTCACATTGTGCATCTATCACGCTTTGTGTTCATTGTCAGTATATCAATCATACTCTGTTCACATTGTGCATCTATCACGCTTTGTGTTCATTGTCAGTATATCAATCATACTCTGTTCACATTGTGCATCTATCACGCTTTGTGTTCATTGTCAGTATATCAATCATACTCTGTTCACATTGTGCATCTATCACGCTTTGTGTTCATTGTCAGTATATCAATCATACTCTGTTCACATTGTGCATCTATCACGCTTTGTGTTCATTGTCAGTATATCAATCATACTCTGTTCACATTGTGCATCTATCACGCTTTGTGTTCATTGTCAGTATATCAATCATACTCTGTTCACATTGTGCATCTATCACGCTTTGTGTTCATTGTCAGTATATCAATCATACTCTGTTCACATTGTGCATCTATCACGCTTTGTGTTCATTGTCAGTATATCAATCATACTCTGTTCACATTGTGCATCTATCACGCTTTGTGTTCATTGTCAGTATATCAATCATACTCTGTTCACATTGTGCATCTATCACGCTTTGTGTTCATTGTCAGTATATCAATCATACTCTGTTCACATTGTGCATCTATCACGCTTTGTGTTCATTGTCAGTATATCAATCATACTCTGTTCACATTGTGCATCTATCACGCTTTGTGTTCATTGTCAGTATATCAATCATACTCTGTTCACATTGTGCATCTATCACGCTTTGTGTTCATTGTCAGTATATCAATCATACTCT